GTCGTCGTCGTCGTCGTTTGTCGTCGTCGTCGTCGTCGTCGTCGTAGTAGTAGTAGTAGTAGAAGTAGTAGTAATAGTAGTAGTAGTAGTAGTAGCAGTAGCAGTAGTAATAGTAGTAGTAGTAGTAGTAGTAGTAGTAGTAGTAGTAGTAGTAGTAGTAGTAGTAGTAGTAGTAGTAGTAGTAGTAGTAGTAGTAGTAGTAGTAGTAGTAGTAGTAGTAGTAGTAGTAGTAGTAGTAGTAGTATAGTAGTAGTAGTAGTAGTAGTAGTAGTAGTAGTAGTAGTAGTAGTAGTAGTAGTAGTAGTAGTAGTAGTAGTAGTAGTAGTAGTGGTGGTGTGCTTCGCCTTTGTCTTCTTAGTATTGATATGCCTAGTCTTCGCCGTCCTAATAATATTATTCTTAAAAGTATTACTGCTACTAAAATAAATATGACTGTCGCAGTGCTGTTCGTAGTATTCTTCTGCTTCCGAATAGTATACTTGGTAGCCTTAGTAGTATTCATAATATTAGTATCGCTAATACATAATGGTGTTGTTATTATGGGTAGCAACCTGGTTATTATTATGAGTATTCGTACCACGACTACTATTACTAGTAGCATCATGGAAATATGTTTCTGATTGGTACTAGTAATACTAATCTTGGTACGTTTACTACTATTACCCTCAATATTACGATTGGTGTGTCATTGTTGTGAGTAGTCGTACTAGTGCTGGCATTCGTCGTAGTATGCTGCTTCATCTTATCGGTGTGCACACTATGGCTACCAATATTCTTACTAGTCGCAATATTATTATACATAGTACGATTACTATTAGCACGACTGGTATTATTATTCCTCTGCTGCTTCATCTTACAATTATCATTATTGATATCGGTCCTCCTCTCGTTCTTCTTCGTATTACTCCTCCTCCTCCTCCTCCTCCACCTCATCCTCCCCGTCCTCCTCATCCTACGCCGCCGCCGCTTCCGTCCCCGCCCCCGCAACCGCCTCCGTTTCCGCTTCCGCCTCCGCGTCCACCTCCGTTTCCGCCTCCACATCCGCCCCCCCTCCTCATCCTCCTCTTCCTCATCCTCCTCCTTTGTATGATTAATGTCATTCGTAGTATGAGTAGCCGTAGCATTGCCATTATTAGTAGTCAAAATATGTGTGTGTGGTAATTAGTAGCAGTTTCGGTACTCGTATTAGTACTACTGTTGTCAGTCATCATCATCAGCGACATCATCATCAGCATCATCATAAGCATTGCCATCACCATCATCAGCAGCATCATCATCAGCATCATCATCAGCAGCATCACCAGCATCAGCATTAGCAGCAGCATCAACATCAGCATCATCATCCGCATCCGCATCCGCATCAGCACCATAAGCATCAACAGCAGCATCCTCATCAGCATCAGCATCATCAACAGCATCAGCAGCATCATCCTCATCAGCAGCATCATCATCAGCATCGTCATCAGCATCATCATCCGCATCAGCATCAGCATCAGCATCAGCATCAGCATCAGCATCATCAGCATCAGCATCAGCATCGTCATCAGCATCAGCATCAGCAGCATCATCATTGTTATCATCATCATAATCATCATTAGCAGCCTCATCAGCATCATCATCAACAGCATCAGCATCAGCATCATGATCCTCCGCTTCATCTGATTCCGCCTCCGTATCAGCATCCTCATAATCAGCATCATCATCAGCATCAGCAGCATCATCAACATGACCAACAGCAGCATCATCGTCATTATCAGCAGCAGCATCAGACGCACCATCAGCATCATCAACATCATCAGCATCTTCATCAGCATCGTCATTAACATAATCAGCATCAGCAGCATCAGCATCATCATCATCAGCATCAGCATCAGCATCAGCATCATCATAATAACCAGCATCAGCATCAGCATCACCATCGTCCTCATCAGCATCTTTTCATCATCAGCACCAGCATCAGCATCAGCAGCATCATCATCATCACTATCAACGGCAACAACAACAACAACATCATCGGCAGTAGTATCATCAGCGGCATCATCATCGGCGTCATCATCATCATGAGCATCAGCAGCATCATCATCGACAACAGCATCATCATTACCATCATAAGTATCATCATCATCAGCATCATAATCATCATCATCAGCATCATCATCGTCATCATAATCATCATCATCATCAGCACCATCAGCAGCATCCCCATGATCATCAGCATCATCGCCATCTTCGTTATCATCATCGTCATCGTCGTCCGACCATCCGTACGTTCGTCCGTCCGTCCATCCATCCATCCATCCATCCATCGGTCCATCCATCCGTCCACTTCCCTCTCCTCTTCTTCTATCCTCCCCTTCTTCCTCCTCTTCCTCCTCCTTCCTCCCACCCCTCCCTCCCTCCCTCCCTCCCTCCCTCCATCCATCCATCCATCCATCCCTCCTCCTCATCCTCATCCTCACCCTCACCCTCAACCCCATTCTCGTCATCATCCTCCCTCCCTGCCTCCTCCTCTTCCTCCTCCTCCTCCTTCTCCTCCTCCTCCTCCTCCTCCTCCTGCTCCTCCCCCTCCTCGAAAGTCACGCGCGCATTTGCGGCTGGATGTAGCCCGCCCTGTCTGGCGGCGTCGGCCGATGCTGACACGTCGGCCGCCCCCGTCGGGCAGTGCGCGCGGCCCGCCCAAGGCCTCGACGCGAAGCTGTTGCTGCTCGCGGCCGTAGCCAAAGCGATGGCACGAAGAAGACGAATCGGGCAGAGAATCCTCCTCCTCCTCCTCCTCCTCCTCCTCCTGCTCCTCCTCCTCCTGCTCCTCTACCTCCACCTCACCTACCCCTCCTCCCTCCTCCGTCCCCCTCCTCTCCTCCTCCTCCTCCTCCCCCTCCTCCTCCTCCTCCTCCCGCCTCCTCCATGGCCGGGAAGGTTTCGCGACAAGCAGCTTCTCACAAGGAAAGAGACATAGTGCTCCGACAAAGCAAGACGCCCACTTTCGGGGCCCACTTTCGGGGCCCACTTTCGGGGCCCACTTTCGGGGCCCACTTTCGGGGCCCACTTTCGGCGCCCACTTTCGGCGCCCACTTTCGGCGCCCACTTTCGGGGCCCACTTTCGGGGCCCACTTTCGGGGCCCACTTTCGGGGCCCACTTTCGGGGCCCACTTTCGGGGCCCACTTTCGGCGCCCACTTTCGCTGCCCACTTTCGCCGCCCACTTTCGCCGCCCACTTTCGCTGCCCACTTTCGCCACCCACTTTCGGCGCCCACTTTCGGCGCCCACTTTCGGCGCCCACTTTCGGCGCCCACTTTCGGCGCCCACTTTCGGGGCTCACTTTCGGCGCCCACTTTCGGCGC